AGACAATGGAGGGAAACAGGCACTCCTGGGGGCATCAGTCATCTGAGCTGTTTTCATCGTCTTCCATAGGAAGACATCTATCACATCCTGGAAATCCTGGGGTGTCTCTGCTGGCTGTAAAGGTAGCTTGGTGCAGATAGCTAAGGTTCTTTATATCTAATGTTACCTGAGGTTATCCCCAGGGTGCACCTGCCCTGTCCTCAATATGCAGGGCTGGACCTGCTTTTCCTTCATCCTTGAGCTTGTAGGTGTATATCCTGCTAGAAAAACCCAGAAACCCAGCTATAGAAGCTCACAGTAGGGCAGTTTTGAAGTAGCTTTAAAGACAGTGAGCTGGTACAACAGCCCAGTACTGAAGGAAGGAAATCCCTGCCACTGCTTTTGGGATACTGGGCAGCTTGAGGTAAGGTTGTGCTATCTCTCTTTTAGGCACCAAAGTGCAAATCCTTTACACCTAGAGCACCGATCTAGCTGCACCAAAGCAGGAGAGTGTGCCTCCTATATATTAAAGCACACCAGCACTGGGAAGTGCTGGAGGCATCAGGTACAAAGCTCATGAGAAAGATTTGCACTTTCCTACTATGTGAAGAGTGGCTTGGCTCCCTATTCATCCCACTTTTACATCCCACTAGGACTGGGGCTTGTACCTAGCTTTACCCAGCTGGGTAAGCTTCAGCAGGCTTGTGGCAATCAGCTTCATTCTGACCTCATCTAATGACATGTCCAGATTTCCTATTTCTCTCTAGCCCCTCTCCCCTGCTAAGCAGAGCAAGGGCAGCAGGAAATAGGGGAGAGCTACCAGTCCATCTGTCCCTTCTGCTTTCTTTGCCACTTTGCCAGATCGAGCTGCCCCCCGACGTGGTGTCCCTCACCTGTGCCAGTAGCTGTCCCTCTCATCCCTGTAATCAGACACAGCCTGTGACCTGGAGGTGCCGCCTCCCCCCACGACTCCTGCCCAGTACTCGGGGTCGCCGTCCATGTCCCCGGCGGGGGGCAGAGGTTTCCTGCGTGCCTGCCGGTAGGGCTGGCGGAAATTCAGGTCCTCCTCGTGCAGCGAGCTCAGCTCAGACACTGTGTTGTTATCTGCAGGAAAGAAATGAGATGGGCATCACCCGATGGCAGCCAGGCAGGGATTCTGAGGGTATCACAAAAGGCATGAGATGCCTGTGTTCCAACTGAGTTCAGCCTTTGGGAAGAGCCTCCCCTCAGTAGCAGGTGTGAGCCCCCTGCCCTTGTGAGGTGGTCACCGAGCTTGGTGGGACACCACTACAGCACAGGAGTTCGTGCCACCTCCCCTTTTCCTGGTGTGAGACAGGCTGCCTCTGGATTTGGCCTGACTTGCCCAGCTAAAACAAAACAACCCCCTCAAAAAAAGATTAAGAAAAAAGTAAAAGTCTGTCTGAATCACTGTCAGTCTCTACCTCATCAAGCACACTGACATCTGTAGGCCTGACATACCAATCTGCAGAGGTCTTTTTATAGTAAATCTTGTGGGTGGAGAAGACTGTGTGCTCAGCAATGACTGTTTTAGAAGTATATATAATTTGTTCGTTATGCCTAATCTGTACAGAGCTTTGATGTAGTGTCATTCCTTAAAGTCCTTCCCTTCTATGATTTTCAGGATCCCACACGTCTCTTTTAAGTGAGCCTCTAACACTGCCTAACGTGGGTTAGCTCTGTGTGCTGCCCACAGGAACTGAGCCCCGTCCACAGCCACTGTCCTCTGCACACAGCACCCACAGGACAAGGAGCAGCACTGCAAGCCCTCCCCACACACCTTGTCCCATTCTGCACCTCTGCCTCCTAATGTGGAAAGATCCTCACTTGGGTTTGTATTCTGACACACATTAAATGCAGCCTCAGCCTTTATTTAAGGAAATAAAGCTTACAAGAGGCTATGGGAAGACAGTGAGGAGTTCCACACAGAAGCTCAGTTCTGAGATTGTACCATGTCCCTGCTCACCACCCTGCTCCTTCTGCAGGGCAACAGCCACTCCAAACAAACTTCCTGCTTCCTTCAAGCCATGCTGTGGTCACTGCAGCCCACAAAACACACTTTCAATAAAATCAGCCCTCTCCTATTTTGCCATGCTGGGAATTTACAGACACCACACTCTGAAGAATTTGTGAAAGCAATATCCCAGCTGTTATCACACCACAGGCTGTAGAAAGTATGAGTAGAGACTTGGCTTTTCAGATGCTGATGATCTCAAAGTTCAATTATAAGAGTGGACAACTTTCATGAGCTTTTAAGTATCCCTCACTTTTCTCTAAGAATTATTAGATAAGCACCAGACCTTTAAAATCAGAACATACCCGCAGATACCTAAAATTTAGATTTTATCTGTCCCAATTAAATTATCCTGGATATCATATCCTAGGGGCTGACCCTGTGGCAAAGTAAGTGAATTTTTAATTATGAATTCCCCAATCTCTCCTAGGTCAGTAGGGAAAGAAAAAAAAAAATCAAACCATGCTTGTTTCTCACATCGTTCTCGCATCCTCCTAGACGGATCAAACTGAGCCAATTCTTTCTCCACATAGTACAGCACCTTCATGGAATCCCTGTCCTTGTCAGCCTGGATCCTGTACCCCTTGCGCACTGCTGGGGAGAAAAAAAGAAAACATTAGAGGAAAAGGCATGAACAAGGAGCCTTTCCCACAACACTGCCTCTGTAGTTGAGCTCACGTCTGCAGGCAGGTAGGCTGCGTCAAAACACACTGAGTCAGTCGCTGCTTCACCAGAAACTCGTCTACAGTGTGGGATGTGAAGCTGTAAGAACTTGCATGGTTTTAAAAGTTTGCAAATGCCCAATTTGTGATAGACTCTGAGCATGGTGGGACAGCCTCACAGCACCTCACCCTCTCTCATGTGAGATAGGCTCGCTCTGCAGTTAGCCCGCTTTGCCCAGCTAAAACAAAAGCAACCCCCTCATTGCCACAGAGTGATTTCAACTCCCACAGATGACGGCAGAGAGAAAAGCAGAACTCATTTCCCCTTCCTCAGCACTATTGAAAGGATTTGTCATGGTATGGGAGAAGCAGTCCCAGATCAGGCTTCCTCTAAGCTCTCAGTCTGCAGGAGAAGCAGGTGGCTGAGCATTTGGGAGTTGGCACTGTGCAAGACCACTCCACCCTCCCACTCCCATGAATTTTCCTCACACAGGTTGAAGAGTTTGTGGCAAAAGCTCCAGAGAATACAGAAGGAAACACAAAGTCCCACAAAGCACATCACACTGCTTTGAGATTTATACTGACTCCAGGGATGAGGCCAACCAGGTCACTGGCAGCTATGAAACTGCTCTAGGATTCTTTACAAGCTTTACTTCACAGAAAAGGTATATATCTTATACATTAAATGCTTGACTTCTGGGAAGTTTGGACAGCTTTTTAACTTGTCCATGTGCCTATGTGTGAAAAAGAAGGCCTTATACACCTGGAGCCAAAGCAGATTTAACTCTGGCAGGTTAGCTCCATGCACAATTTACCTACTAACAATAGCTACAAACAGCCTGACTATCGTAAGGCAGGCCTATGGTCAGCAAGAACTCCACCTTTCCACTCTCTCTTTGAAGAAAATAAGGTTTTTATAGCAGATTATTTAAGAAAAATCTCAGTCTGGAGCTATTTCAGGATTGACAGAAATTCAGGTCTAGGTACAAGAGAGGACTACAACCCTCAAATTCAGCCTTATTAGAGAACCATTGTAAGGACAATTCACTTAAAAACTACAAAATGGAACTGCCTTGCATGGGGTTAACATGTTCCTTTGTGGGAGCACTGCAGTGTTTCATGAGTGCTCCTGCTGGGGAACAATTTAAACACTTGGACAGTGCTTCTGAGCCAACCTGTTCCTTCTGTTTTATCCCTCACCACCGCAACACGTCGAGCTATTAACATATGGGTTCGGTAGTACGTCGCATAGTATGTGCTGTGTGGGCTGAGCAAGGACTTGGCAGAGGTATTCTTAGGCACCTCCTGTCCTAAACTGCTGTGCATGTGTCTGAGCACTAGGAAATAACCATGCTCTGCTTCAGGAATGGCTGTGCCATAGAAATGGGTAGAGTGCTTCAGATCAAAGCGCTTTACTGTGGGTTTGCACTGCACATGTGTAAGGTAAGTGATTCCATTTTGAGATATTACCTTGTGTGTCTGCACCTGGGAATGGTGTAGGATCTAAAAATATAGTAGGGGTCTATCAGGGTCCTTCTTTTAATGTGCCTCCAGACAGCTCAGCTGACAGCAGTGTGGTTTATTATCCCTGTGAGTGAGTGCACAGTGGCTGAAAATGCAGTGGTTTACAGAACACAAGGAATCCTGCCTCTGTCTCCTGAAGAGGAAACACAGCTGGTCTCCCCGAGTGAGGCTGGACTGACTGGCCTCAGAAGTGACAGCTCTGCTCAGCATGAGCAGCAAGGGCAGTTCTCCTGGTACCTCAATTCTGTCTGGTACCGTGCCAGGAAAGAGTCCTCTCACTATTCTTTCTTCTAATGTGCAGACTAGGAGCTCATTTATACACAGGCCAGCAAACCACTCTGACCTACTCATCACCTTTGGAGAACTTGAACAGACAGCTTCCAGACTGTCTCACACTGAGGCTGTGCCAAACATCAATTTGGGCAACCTCTATAGCTCCTGGAACTGATGGAGAATTAGCTAAGCTTCATGGTAGCTTCATACTAAACTTGCTATTGCAGCTGTACCAAAAGGCAAATTAATTTCTTGGTTAATTCTGCAAGTATCTAGAAATTAATTTTGGATTTAAATCTGCAAAGATGACTGTGAAGAGCTCATAAAAAGTATTTTCCACTACAGAGGAAGCAGTTTTGTCTCTACATTTGTTTATTAAATACTTCTCATAAAGTCTAAATGTTCAATTTATTAAATCTCTTCATTATTCCTTCAGCTGAGAACCAAAGATATTACTGTTTCTTCCTCACACTCTTCATCTGTAAATTGCCATAATCCTTTAATTAGGTCTGAATCATTTTAAGCCCATTTTAATTATAAAGAAATAAGGATGCAGAAATGTTGACCACATGTCCAGAACCACTCACTGAAGTCAAAGGGAATGGAACATTCTTCCCATATTTTCTTCTCTTGAACAGTTCATAAATTTCTAATGTTTAATTTGTATTTAACTAGACACTATTTTTATTCTTCTGTGGGTGGAACCAACTCAGCCTAAACTGTAAGCTGTCTCCCTCCCCAGAAAGGACAGCACTATTTTTTTTCAGACAAGTAGTTTAGGAAGTAAATGATGTCTCATCCTGATACCCTTTTAATGTTAAAAGATCTAGGACCAACATCTTCCCTGTGTGCAGAGTTCAAAGGATCTATGCAAAAGCCTCTAGGTAACCACTGTGTTTAAAATAGGGCATAAATTCTAACTCATCTGTTGTCAACACTCTTCTAAATAAGAGAGCTAAATGTTTTTGGGTATTTTTTCCTCCATTCAGCCCTAAGTTTAGGATAGAGTTCCTAAGCTTAATCTGAGTTTTGCAACATAGCTTTTATGTAACACCAGGCAAATTTTCTAAATATCCTCAGGCCTGAGTTTGCTCACTAGATCTCCTCACAGGGGTCATTTATAAGCACACAATCTATCTAGGGCAAAGGATGTTGTTTTTAGCCAGAATTACAGAGTTCTCCAGTCTCTGTCCCCCAGCACTTCCGGTCCCATTTTTTTTAAATGGACTTGACAGAAAGGTGGAAGTCCTAAAGATGCAAAGTTTCAGATCAGACCTACAGCAGCTGTGTGGAGAACAGAGAGGCATTTTATTCTCCTTCTGAGAAAGGCTTTTATTATAAACTCAACCATTACCTGTTTTGTTTAGCTTGCTGCCTGGCCAACAAGCAAAGAAGTAACTTGGAAAAGCCACACAATGTTTTCTCTTCTACAGCCTGTCATTAGGGGATATTCTGGCATTGTGGAGGACCTTAAGACCAAAAGAACAGTACACAGGCTGTAATTCTCCCTTAGCTCCACAGTTCATGCACCTTGAACAACAGGTCCATGATCCAGACTAAGGGTTTGTCCGTATTATTGCAAAAAAGAACTAATTTTTAACAAGTTTAAGAAACTCTGTTGTCTTGCCACAAAGGTTAAAGCTCTGTGATAATGTTTTTATTTGCCATTTATACTATTTCCTGTCAAGTCCTGAGGTAAGGGATTGAGTCCAGACATCTGATTTGGATGCATTATATATTAAATGCATCCTTCTGGGTAAGTATCATGAGATCCTAAGAGCCATTCCATTTGGCCACCAAACATATGCACTGTTTTTTATTCTGAACTTGTGCTCTGCTAGCAGAGACAAGACTGGGAGCTGTGATCTGACTCTTAAAAAATCCCTGGAGTTCCCACAACCAACACCACACTCTACATGCAGCAACATTTTTCACAGCAGAAAAAAACTGAAGCACTGGGGTGTCATTCATCATTTTCTGACAAAGGTTTTTCAATTGGATACATTCTACATTGGATCAGTGATTGATTTATTTCCTATTTCAAAATGCTCCATTCCAGAGCTCTGTTATGATTTCAGTGGGCAAAAAAAGTATGATTGTTGTAAGAAAATACTTTTTGTAATTCCAGAAAGGTTTAATATACTGACTGGGGCAGCAGAAGCATGTGTAGGGTTGTTGTTTCAGAAGCTTAATTAATGATGCTACTTAATCTTGTCTTTTCAGATGTGTTTTATCAATACACTGTCATGAGTTAATTTAACAACTGATACTTAGTGTGGTGCTTTGAAATCAGACATGTAGCTGGATCAGTGATAACTCTACATTGGTGATACTCATTTCTGCTGCAGAATGTTTGAATTTAGACAGCCACTCTGACCCTGAAATGCATGTGGCTAAATAGCTGCCCTCTTTTCTCCTTGATGGCAGCTTCCTTTGCAGCAACAGAAATGACCCTCCCCAAGACAAGAGGCATCACACTGCCACTCTAGTTCTGATAATCATTCACAACTCCTTTCTAGTCAGAAGCATTTCATCACTCACATTTCACAAATGCAAAGGCTGAAAAAAAAAAAGTGACCTACTGACTTCTGTCCAGTAAAGGACAGGGTCCAGCCCCAAAGATCTTGGGCAGAAATATCAAGGGATTACTTTGCCCAAAATGCCAGGGGGACAGTAAAACATGCTGCAGCAAAAACTTCTGCCAGAGGCCAAGCAGTGCCATAAAGAGGGTTGCAGGGACAGTTTACAAAGAGAAAGCAGCTTGCAAAGCATGAGCTCTACGGGGAAAATAGCTCCTGCCTCTGCTCTCCTGAAATCATCTTCATCCTTTTGTCCTCTGCAAGAGAACATCTGCAGCAGTAATGAGAAGGGTCCTGCACAGGAACTCGGCTTCCCATTCCCTGCTGACCTAATTAGGCACCCACAAACTGACTCTGTGTTGATGGTCCCAGAAAAGTTAGACCACGAGGCCCTAATGTAAATGTCATTGTCAGAGACAGGATTAAAATGCAGTTTCCCTGTGCTTCTTTTCTTCACACCACTCAGTCACTGACAATTGTTCCTCCCCTTCCCAGCCCTACTTCCCAGTAAAAGGACTGAATGTTGTGCCTGGCACTGCAAATTACCATTTTGGCTTCCTCCACTGGCCTCGCTTGGGGCTAAGGGAGGTGGGTGTGACTTATCCATCAGCACAGCAGGAGATGGGACACCAGCTACAGGAACACTGGGGATGTAGTATGGACCTGGCATGGTAGAGACTGCAGGAGGGTACCCAGCTTTTGCTGCTTTGCCTGCTACATACACTGAAAAAGAAAAAGAACAAGAGTCAGCATCACATACCACCCCCCACAGACACGGGCACAAAACCTGCACCAACATCGGTGGCAACCCCACAGGAGGCAACCACACAAATGAATTAACAAGGACCAACCTGAATTTCTCTAAGCCTCAAAGGGTACTGAGAGGAGTTTAAAATATGCACTGCATATAATAAAAGTGCATATAATAATAATGGCACTGTGAGATGCTCAGAAAGACACTCAGGGTGTTACAGCCAGCATTACCACTGCCATGATTTAGTGGCAGTTCAGCTTTAAAAATAACTGATGACTCAAGCAGCAGGATGAGGCTCATGGAACTTGACAGATCTGACTGAGCCTGACCAGGAACCTTGCTGGGTTGCAAGGATTTTGCACTGTTGTAGAGGACAGCTGATTTGCATTGCCAGGAAGAAACCTCCCAGGATGCTCTTAGCTCTGACCCGCAACATTCACTGACACAACAACAAACTTTGGAATGGGAGCACGACACTCTGGAAAAGCAGGCACAGCTGCCAAGGCAGGGAGGGCTTGGGGAATTACATTTGTAATTAACTTTGAGCATTCAACCATTGAGTAATAGGTCAGATGCTTCACTCCCTAAGAACCAGTTCTCTAGCCAAGCAAAGTGCTCAGGGCAAAGGAACCAATATGAGCAGATTCTCCTCCTGCTCTGCCAGGGAGCAGAAGTAGTAGGGAAGAGGATTTTCACCAGGCTTGGACAGGGTCACTCACGTGCCCGGGGACAGCAGCAGGACTCAGGACAGCAGGGGCAGCGGACGTAACAGCAGCAGCTGTGTGGGCAGCACTGGCACCAGCAGATCCCCACCAAGAGGAAGAACAGGAACGCCCCCAGGATCACCAGGCCCACAAAGACCCACTCTGGAAAACAAGGGGAGAAAGGGAGATACTTACTGCTGTGGAAGAGAACATCAGCAACATCCTCCCAGCGGAGAGCATGGTGACAAAACACACAGGTGAATAACAGAAGCAGAGCGACTCCCTGTGCATCTATGACTAGGGATACTCCCTCCTCTTGTGTCAAAGCAGAAATGGCACATGACAGTGAGAAATGAGCTGCAGAGATGTGGTCCCTTCTGGCAGCATCTCTGGCTGGCTGAGAGACGAGCAGCACAGAGCAGCAGCCCTGGTTCCCCTGCAGAAACCCTTCACCCCCCAGCAGACCTGCGCCAACCCGCAGGACGTGCTCCATTAGCACTTGGACCTCATCAAAGACTCATTCTTCTTGGCCATGTTCATGCCCTGCTTATGTGTTTGTTCCCTACCCACATTCTGGTTTTAATGGGCCAAAGGATGGTGAAAAGCAGGCTATAAATAGCCCAGTAAACGAGCCAGGCCTGCCCCTTCGCATCAGGCCTACGCATGCAATTATTCTTCTTTTGAATGTGCCGAACGAAACATCCTATTCAGGCGCCACAGCCAGCCAGCAAACCTAACAACCACTTTCTTCCTCCCCCATTGAAGCCTCACATGATGTGTGCCAGGCCCCAAAAGGGCTGAAAAACACCCTACAAATGAAAGCACGCAAGAGCTGGCCCACAAAAACCAGGATGGGGCTTAAAGGGGAAGGAGAGGGAGAAATGGTTTCTCCAACTTTGCTGCTGGAAAATCTGGTGGGAGCAGGGCTCAGCCTGTGCCAGGGCAGCATCTACTGCCACACAGTAGGGAATGAGCAGAGAACACATCTGGACCAAGAAATTACAAGACTGAACATGCAGGAGGCCTGGAGTTGGTTTTATGTCAGAGAAATGCACCAACCTATCTCCAAGCAAGACTGCTGGTGAGGAAAAGACTTCAGGTGTACCAACTTCTTTTCCAACCATCTTGGAAAAATGGAAAAAGCAAACAAAGACATGATGGGGATGCTTTGCAGTGGGGAAGGCTTTATCTCCACTTCAGAGGAAAAAAAGCAGCAGACCACTATTTCCAAACACAAGTCCAGTGTTCACTTAAGAGTGTCCTGGTATATTATCATTTGAGATGAAGAAGTATTGATACAAGGATTGCAATCCACATGAAGAATCACACTGGAAAAACAGTGCACCCCTCACCTGTGTTGCTAAGCTAAAAGGTCAAGGAAAAATGTTTCACTTAGACCATTCAAAATAGAATTTTTCCTAGCTCTTGATACTTCTTATTTTTGTGTTGTGTCATTTTTGATCCATCTACAGTGTTCTGTTTGAACAAAAGTAGGATTCTTTACTTTGTTGGAGCTTTCCTTAACTCTTTTACAAACAATTACCCTTTTTAAAAATGCCATTTTAAATCTAGAATTTAAAATTTCCTTTGAAAAATGTCAGTCAAAGATCTGGCATCTACAAATCAAAACACTTCAGAAGAGTGAATTTTTTTTAATTCCTCATTTCTTTTTTGGCTGACACAGATGAATTTCATTTAAATTTGCATTTAATTTTGATCCCTCTGGAATAATTTTTTGACCTTACTATATGCTGAGAAAAATTCAACTAACAAGTAAGGAATGGGCAGAAGGGAAGCATTCATGAATGGGAAGGCAAGAGTTGAGAGATTACTGACAAAGTCCCTCAAGTTCTGCTTCTAGCAGCTGTTTTGTTTAATATTTTCATAAATTACCTTGACATAGAAAATAAGAATATGTTAAAATATCATGACAGTAAGCAGTAGGGATGCATTGTCACTAAAGGCTGGGACATGTTATATAAAGGGCCAGTTGTTCTTGGGTCTACAATAGGAAATGTAAAATGTGGTATTATCCTGAATTTCAAAGAATGCAGCAATGCTTTCAGTGTCCCAGGTTCAAAGATCAAGAACTATTTTTTTTTTCTGAACAGGACTTCACTGATTGAAAAGAACTAAAAAACAAGAGAAATGATCCAGTATACATAGGATCACTGTCACCACTCACACAATACAGCCACCAAAAATGGCAAATGTAGGCCAAATAAGGGAAGAATTTCCAGCAGTATGGAGGAAATATCAATGCCATCACACAAGGCCTCCTCTCCATGAAACTTCATCTGAAGTTACTGATGTCATACAGCTCTGGTCATCTTTGCAGCTGAAAAGGCAAATTTAGGTCGGAGCTGATGGAAAGAAGGGATTTGAGGGATGAAGGGACTCTGGAGCCTGCCTGGCAGCAGGAGAGCTGAAGCCTGCTGAGTTACTCTATTAAACAGAAGGCTGAGGGAAGATGTAGGTCCTGCCTGTAAATATGGTAGGAGGATAAATGCAGGAGGAAAAGCAGGTATTGTAGTTAAAGATCTTATATAAATGGACAGAAATAGATGATCAGTGATGTAGAGAGAAGCTAAAAAAGGCCCATCAAAGAAAGTAATCCAATAGGAAAGAGAAAGGCCAAACCTTAGGCTACTCCTAAACTTGCTAAGCTTACTGAAAGGATGAAATTACATGGTGCTGGGGATAGAATGCAAGATAGGGAGCCAGAGTATCCTTTCCAGTCCTGTACTTCCTAATCTATGCCAATCTAAGCAACAGCTTAGTTGCTTAAAACTGTTTTTCTTTCTTTTTCTTATCTTGTTTTCTATTAACCATCATGGACACAGAGAAGGAGGTGAAACAGCACTGCTTGACACAATTGGCCAGTCATAGCCATCCAGGGAAACTCTGATGTCAGATCTCCGGAGCTATTAGTGGACAGTTTACAACCACTCCATAAAGGATAAAAGCCTGGTAGAGGAAAGAAACAGACAGCAAGTCCATTAGAAGTGTATCTGTGGTTTCCCTGAAAACATTGTAGGAATACAAAAGAGGGTCAGGTTAGTGTACATTGCACATTGCAGGATACTCACTCAGCATATAAAGTGGAAATCTGAAATCAGTGTCCCAGGCACAGAGACCTGTGAGTCAGGATTTTACTTCACAGGAAGTTGGACCATTTCCTTTTCTGATGAGGTTAAGCAAACAGCAAAAGGAGCCTGCTGGCTCTTACTTTATGCACAAAACTGGAATTCAACCAGTTCCTGATACAACTGTATGATGCTGAGATTCAAATGACTACCAAGCTGACACACTCTGTGTCCTCACTGTCTGGAAACTACTGGTTTGTGCTTGCAGAGGTATCTGCTTTCTTTACTCAGGTAACAGGCAACACCAACAGCTGAAATGTGGTTTGCTGCTGCATCTTACACTTTCTTGTTGTCTATCCATGCAATGAGGGTACCAGAAAGATATCTGGTCAACACACCATAATTTTATAGCCAATCAATAAAATTCTAAATAACAGGGGGAAGAGTGTTAGGCAATAGAGAATCAACTGTTATCTATGCTGAAAAGACCAATCCCTCTCCTACCATGCAGGAATTCTAGGGAGCTTTGGGTTACACTGGAAGTGGGTGAGTGTCTGCCTTCTCTCTGTTTGCATCCCTGGGACAGGCTCAAAAATAGCTTCACACATTTATGTTGCAGTTGCATTTTTGCACAAATGTGTGAAAGAAATGCTCCTCGGGCACCACCAGGGAACGATCAGATGACACAAGGGCTATATATTCTCACAGCTTTTCCCTTTCAAGAACAATCTGTTGCACAGCCTCTGTCCCCTCTGCAAGGAGTGCCACAACTGTTGGCTCTCACTAGTTTTGGCCAGCAAGGGATTTGTCACAGGCATGGAGCTCTCACGTCAGGCCCAGCCACCTGGTGTCACCAAGATGATGGCCTGGCTGTGCAGCACACAAGGGGCTGTGCCACTGATGGGTTGCTAGCCAATGCTCTATTCCCAGCACCTCCTGTGCCACCATCTGTGCTGATGGTGGAGCCGAGTGACTGCACAGGAGCAGATGACACACGGAGCCAAGCAGGGCTGTGGGGTCTCACAGGCTGCAGCAGTTTCCTCTGTGCTAGCAGGGGGAGAGCAGAGAGCTGGATAGAAAACCTCCCCAGAAGAGCTCTGGCATTTCTGCTGTCACACTGATCCTGGCATGACATCAACCATCTCTGTGTGCTGGCTCCCAGCGTGGCCCAGCATCAGCTCTCTCGAGTCTGAGCCCAACACTTTCCCAGTAAGTGCTAGACTCTTCTCTTTAAATCCCCAGATAAAAAACATATACAAGTGAAACATACACCACCACATAAAGATGCTGCAGAAGGATAAACAGACGAGATGACAGAGGAATGGATGATTAAGGGTGAAATGACTGAATACCTGGCATAATCTCCACAGCAAAACTGGGCAAGAGATCAGCAAGCAGCCCTGTCCTGCCTAGAAAAGACAGAAGGAGGAGAAGAAGGAGAGAGGTTACTGCAAGAAAAACACACTCCCCAGCCCCTGCCTTAGCCTCCAGTTCCCTTCCTCATCAGCCCACTTGCACTCTGAGTTATGTGAATTCCTATCAAGCACAGATGTCATCCTGCTCGATGCCTGGTGTCTGCCTCTGCACTTCTGCCATTTCTGTGTCCTTGCATTTTATCTTTATCAGCAGAACTAGGGGGAAAGAATCTGGAACAGAGCTTCTCTAATCTAGGCACAAAATGACAAGAAAAAGGAGTCCCTTTAGCATGGTTACATGGTAACATCTTTCTGGAGTTATGCTCTACACATGCAAAAGCTCCTGGAAATGCACAACAGCCCTTAAACAGAGGGATAGAATTTATTTTTGAAACGTACTGATGTAGTTTCTACAGATATTAAACATCTTTAACCCAGAGCTATTGATAAATCAGCCACATGCTTCCAAAACCCGTGGATGCTGCTCTCCATGTGGGGCTTTGTGAGTGCACAGAAAACTCCAGGGAAGGAGCCTTGAAGGAATGCTGTGCATATGTGCTAATTATTTGGAGATGCACAGGCATCTTGGTGAGACTGTGTGACAAAGGCCAGCTCCCAAAGGAAGCAAACCAACCAGGGAAGGATTCGTGTAAAAATCTGTGGGATCGCTTTGCAAAAGAAAAAGGAAACAAACAAAACCAAAAAAAAGGCAAGTCAACTTCAAATTTTTAATTTACAACCAAATACAAACAAACAAACTCCAAGCCCAAAGGCAGCTTGGTGCCTATTTGTTTTGGCAGAGAATGTCTGGGATATTTCCAGTACACAGCAAACATCCTGCACAGTGCTCAGCTGTAATTTACACACACCTGTGCATTGGCAGAACAGCCCTAAAAGTGCAGCTGTGCTGTGAACTCTTCCTCAGAGCTCCCAGGATCCTGCTGGAATTTTTAAAGACATGCATATGGTAGGAGAGCTAAACTCTGAAGAGAGACACACAGTGTGGGCAAAACAGCAGGAGCAGCTCAGGGTAAGGCAATGCAAAAGAGGTAGAAAGCTACCTTTAACCTCCCCACATGCCCTCCAGGTCCTGCACTGTGCACAACTCAGACACAGTGATGAACCACATCCCAAGTTCCTCGGCCTCTAGTCTGCCCTTGAAGGTTATTACATTTAAATTCCCACCATCCGTTTTTTCTCAGTGCTTCAGCAGAGACTCTGTAGAGATCAAAAATCCACAAGGAAGCCTGCTGGAGCCATAATGAATATCCTGTGACTGCAGGCAGTGCTTTGCAGCCAGTTGCAACTCATCAAAGCTGACTAGTACTCACAGGAACGCCCATCCTGATGAGGTGGTCCCGAATCCTTAGCAAAAGATAGCATGGTGATGCTTCACATAATTGCTCCCCATTTTACCACTTTGAGGGAGGACTCCTGCCACCAGTCTGCTGCAACATTTTCATCTACATATACAAAAAGTTTCATGACATTCCTTGCAGTCAATTTCTGGAAGGATCAAGCGTCCAAGCTCCCAACTAGTGTGTTATGCTCCACGTGCATATTAAGTATATTCCTTATTTTGGTAAAACAATACATAATTATTTTGCAGGCCTCTGTGCATGTGTGAACAGCACCCACATGAAGCACATGCATGCAGAATATGGGCAGACACGAGCATGTAGCTCACCTCCCATGTGTTACTACCTCTGCACAAGCTCACATGCAGCCCTAGTGTGAGAGCAGATGCCACTGGACAAATTGCTGGAGGTACATAGCTAATTTAGGCTTCTATTTGTGGTAAAAAAAGCAAGGAAATGACACCTTTAAACAGCAGAAACTTTTTCTCAAATGGTCATTGACAAATGGGTGCCTGCTTTATTTTGAACCTACCTGGAGAGCCTCGAACCCTGCTAGTGCTGGGTACCTTCTGATCTCCAAGAGGAATCACATGTCCAACAGGGAAAAAGCACCCCTTAATATAACAGTGCCTGAGAGCTTGGTAAAAACAAAGATAACCCAAGCAGCTACTCTGTGCTACCCACAAGCAGCCAGCACTTCCCTGCTTGTGCAGCCTCACTTGGCTTTGCCCGAGTATCTCCCCAGGGAATTTGCATCCCTGCCCTGCCAACAGGAGTCACACAGCCCTGGAGGCCCCAGAGCCCCCACCAGGGATGCACAAAGCCTGGGAGGACCCGAGGCAGCAGCAAACCCCACCACAGTTCCTCCTGAACTCTGCCTGCCTCGCCCAGCCCAGCTGAGAGCCAGCAAGCACAATGCCCACCCCTAGACTGCCATGCCCCCAGCAGCTTTCCAAAGCTCAGCCCCCATCCAGCCCTGGGCTGGAAAAATCCCCTGATTAACCCTTCCTCACACCATTCCTTCAGGGAAGCCAACAGACTGAGGCTGCCTGTGGTTGCCCCAGCAACCAGAGGCTCCCACCATTGTCCCTCACCGAAGGAGATTTTCTTCCCTCTGCTGCTGCTGCTGCCAGCAACAAGTGGAGCAAAACCCCCGTCCTGCCAGTCGGCAGGCACAGGGACACAGGGACAGAGCAGCTCAAGGAGGCAGCACTGCCACTGGATCTCGCCTCCTGCCCTCTGCAAGCCTGGCCAAGCATGGGCACAGCCCAGAGCCAGGTGGTGGCCACAGAGAGAATCCCAGGGCAGCACCCTGGTGGGGCACGCACTGCCCAAAGCACAGAGGGCATCCCATCCTTTTGGACCCATGGCTGTAAGAGCAGGCAGGAGGCAGTCAGAGCATCCATGGCCAGCACCCACCCATCTCTCCATGCCTAGGATGCTCCTTCCATGAGCTTTAAGCTCCTTCTCTCAATTTTTGAGCTTTTTTCTAGGAAATTTTAAAGTGGATGCTGGGGCTAGACAGCAATTAGTGGGGAAGAAACAATCCAGTAAAACATCCTGCCAAGAGACCATCTGGCCACAGCAGCTCTGCCCACCTGAGAAAGGGGCTGCAGACACTCCAAGTAATGTCTGGGCACCACTGCTGAGTCACAGATCTGTGCCCCCACCCACAAAGGTTTTGTGTCCTCTGTGCAAGCTCTCACCACCGAGGGGATAGAGGGAATAGACAATTGGCCCCGTTTTCCAGGGTTGTCCCGGGTGACTGTGTCAGAGCTAGGAGCTTGTCCTCATTCTGCAAGGATCTGGGACATGTGCCATCTCTATCCCCACCACGCTGCTGAAGGGTTTTACCTGCCCACAGTGGCCTCTCACCAGGCATCTCACACGCCCCAGGCCCCAGCCAGCCTTGAAATGCAACGGAGCTCACGAGCCCCCCATCTGCACTGGCAGAGCACAGGAGGAGGAATGGGAGAGGAAAAGCTGAGGGGATGCAGAGCAGCTCCAAGAGGTGCAGACACACAGCAGAGGCGAGCGAGGACAGGAGTTAATACACAGGAGGCAGGCAGGCGACAGAGCAGTGAGCAAATAGCAGCAGAGCAGGGAAGACCTGGAGTCAAGCACACAATTAGCAGAGAGTCTGCAGAGAAGAGACACAAAAATAATTAGGGTAAGTGGTGCAGCTGAAAAGAAATGATGGCATGAATAAAGTAGGCCCAGGTGCAGTCAGAAACGTGGCAATTGGGTAAACATGGCAACTGGTAAATCCTGGCAATTGCATAAACGTGATAAATATTGGGTAACTATGGCACGAACTGCTGCTTTCCTGTTTGAAGGCTGCTTCTGCAGCCCAAGCTGCTGCACTGGGATCACAGGACACAGCAACTACAGAGGGAATTATTTCCTTCTCAGTGGTGGAAAACTTTGCCAAGCCGTGCCACAGCAAGAGGCCCCTGGCAAGGAACGCTGCCCTGAGGAGAGGCTGGAAAGCACAGGAGAGGAAGTGTGGCCCTTGTAAATCAGATGCTTTTCCAAGGCAGCTGCTGTGACATTTATTGGGGGAGCACGGCTCTGCAATGAGTTGCTCTGCGCTTCCTCTGCTTGGAGTAAACTTTATCCTTTCTTCCCATCCTTCTCTTCAATTGGACAGAGAAACAGCAGCAGGCCCTTTTGGAGATCAAAGTTTTAGCAGGCAACAAAGACCTCCGAGGAGGCTGTCGCCATGGCTACCGTAGTAACCGCGTCTTTTAATCACACCACTCTCCTTTGTGAGCAGCGTGTGGCTGTCGCTGGCAAATAAGGAGGAAAACAGGGGTAAAAAACCTTGGCAATAAGTAGCACTTCTAATCGGCGTGAAATAAACAACCAGGAGTAGGCTGGGCTAGGATGGAGGGACTGGGGTTACAAAGGCAGCAGCACAGTGGTCTGGGGCTGTGCATCAACACTTCTCCAGGATTTTTAAGAGGAAGGCTCCTGTGCCAATCGCTTCCTCCGCCCTGCTGGCACTACCCACCTTTGGTCACAGCTCAAGGTCGGTGAGCCCTCTCCCTGGAGCTGCTCACAGACATTTTCCCAGCTGAGATGTGGGCCAACACATCCCCAACACAAGGCCACCAGCACAACTCTGCCAACTCCTGTGACCGAGCACTGGCTCGGATGCTACTGGCAGCTTTTCAGCAAATCGGAGCAAAATCCTAAAACCAACATCATGTAAGGGAAAATTCTGCCAAGAACTTTTCAATCTCCGAAATCATGTCAAATTTTATTATACAGTCTCTCCTGGCATAGAAGAGACTCCAAACCTGGCTATATTTATACCAGCTATTGAGTCACTTTGCTGAGTAAGAACTGCCTTATTAGCATTGCATACCATACACACGTGTCTCAGTGGAGATTTATCCTCACTGAAAGTCAACACATGTCTCTATTAGTACATTAATTACTGTACAATATGCTCTGTGTGTGTGTATGTGTCTACATTCTTTACTTTACATCCTTTACTACTTTTACTGTGGGTGTGAGACTTTTTAAATTTTGGGTTTAGCCTATATGGATATTGGCTGGTAATATAAACTGCAGAAGACGTCAGTTTACCAATGTTAGCTGCCAGTTGTCTCTAGAAATTAACACAAACCTCAGGTGCTTATTGTTGTTATTTAAAATATAACAATGGGAGAAAAGGAGACTTAGGGGGCACCTTACCACTCTCTACAACTGCCTGAAAGGATGGTGTGGAAAGATGGGGCGACCTCTTCTCCCTGGAAGAAGTGACAGGATGAGAAGAAATGGCCTCAAGCCGTGCCAGGGCAGTTTCAGGTTGGACATCAGGAAGAATTTTGTCACTGAAAGGGTGGTTAAGCACTGAAATGGGCTGCCCTGGGAAGTGGTGGAGTCATCACCCCTGAAGTGTTCAAGAAACACTGGACATGGCACTTAGTGCTATGGTTTAGTTGAGATGGTGGTCTTCAATCAAAGACTGAACACAACAATCCTGGAGGACTTCTCCAACCTTAATGATTCTATGATTCTGTGATTAACCATAAAAAAATATTTCACTCATACACATTTTATGTAATATTAGCTGCTGAATTGTATAGAAAAGAAACCTGGTGATATCTGTCCAGTGAAGCACATGGATCACTAACCAAAGTGTCAAACCAACAGCTGTGGAATACTTTCTGGCCTCTTCCAGAAACCTGACAGGTCCTGGGGAATGGAGACACTGTTTTGTGAAGCATGTCTAAGCTATGTAAAATCTCAGAATGCAAGCATCACTAAACTTGCATAGACCTATGCATTCCAGGGTACCCAGCTGTGCTGAGCTGTATGTACAGGCACTGCTCTGTAGCTGTTCCAGCTTGGGAAGGCAGCAGTGTAGCAGCTTACCTAGGTCCCTGCACCTGGATGGTAAATTCTGGCTCTTGGGAAGGCTTATTGGGTTGCCTGCAGTGCCATGCAATGAAGCTGGACTGCTTCCTGATGTGAGCTGGCGACACAAAGCCAGGATGACATTGACACTGCACTGTACTTCTGGTTTGAAGGTTACTCCAGGCACACTGCATGCCTGCACTGGTACACGTGCAGTTCCCTTCAGAAAGGCTGCAATGAATTACTTCACTGAAGCCCATTGACATTCTCATATGAAAAAGCAATACACAGGGGCTACAAATAACAATATGATTAATAGCACTGTCTGTGTTTCAAGAAGCAGGACATTAGCTGCCAGCTACTATAACAGAAATGTAGACTTTCTTCAATTTAGGATTCAGCCTTTTAGATTCAATCACATTAAAAAGTTTAAAAAATAAGATGTATAAAGTTGCAAATGGATTCATTAGCCTAGCTGTAATGTCACCAAAGGTTCTCCTTTTCTAATAAAACACGAGTGCAGGGAGTGTCACTTGATTCCTGCTGTGGAATTGCTAAGCTCTGGACTAGTCTGCAGCAGAAGCAGAGTTCATATGGTCTCCAGCACACTACATCCTGTTTGGAGATTCCAAATGCCATCAAAATGCACATATATCACAGAATCATTTAGGTTGGAAAAGACCTCTGAGATTACCAAATCCAACCTGTGACCAAACAGCACCAGACCATGGAACTGAGTGCCACATCCAGTCTTTACCTAAATACCCCAGAGACAGCGACTTCAACACCTCCCTGGGCAGCCCATTCCAATGTTTAACCAACCCTTCTGGGAAGAAATTCCTTCTGAGGTCCAGCCTGAACCCCCTCCAGCACACCTTGAGGATGAGCCCCCACCTTGCTACAACCTCTTTCCAGACAGTTGTAGAGAGTAATAAGGACTAAAGAACATTTTTTAAAATATAATAAATGTGCAATAGTTGTTTTTCTTTTCATTTAAATTCTCTCTTTACTCTACAGGAGGTTCTCTAACTGTGGGTCTCCTGTGTTTCTGAGGCAGAGGTTGCTACCCCTCTTCCCCCACCTGCACTGATTCCCTTAGAGGGTTAAAGTCCCTGACTAAGCAAAAGATACTGAATGGGCTTTCCAGCAAAGTACATAATGAGCACATGCCTAACATCAGGTATGCTTTACAAATCCTATCAGCTTTGCTGAGCACACATGGATATAAATAAATGCTTGTAATACTTTTCTGAAATAAGCACGACATGAGAGCAGCACACGGGATTCTCTGATGCTACCCAGAGCTGACCAGCAGCTCTGGGTGTCAACATGACACATGCAGGTAACAAAACCCAACATGCAATCCCATCATGACCCAGGCTCTCTGGCTGCTTAAGAGGTCACTGAAGGTCTCTGTGATCACTTTCCTAGGAAAAAAAAGGAAATACTGTAATTTGCCCAGGTTTTGGATTTTGCTCTAAGTCGTGATAAAGTGCCTTTTGATCAATTTTTCATGGTATGATTCACTGAATAAAAGCAGGACTCTCCACTTTTAGCTAAACAGACTTCCATTAATTTATTGATTCTATAAGTATGATATCTACCATTTTTGCCTCTCAGTCCTTTCATGGTTTCAATGTGATATTAAACTGCCCTTTCATCCTGGCATTAATACGAAACCACTAGAAGGGATTCCTTTTCCAATCTGATTCTTCTGTCACCCCAAGGATAACGTGAGTGGGTAGAACCTCTGCTCTATTCAAAATTCGAATTTATGCAGAAATCATGCAGCACCCCCAAAATAAGCAATGTAAATTGTGTATCTGAGAAACCACTGTAAGCAGGGAACAAACAGCAATGTGCTCTGGGAATCGTAGCATCTCTCACACACTATCCCTCTGCTGCTCCAGCCTCTCTAACAGGGAATGTGGGTTCCACCCAAAGACCAGCACAACAGCAAACAAAACCCTTTTACCACATGTCCCCCTGGACTGTAGAATTGCTTCAACCTACATCTGTATTCAGTGTCTCCCTCCAAGCAGAGCGATGGAACAAACAAAAAGTATCCCAGAATATGCAGAATATTAAGAAGTGGTATTTTCATCACTGGCTGCTTCCTCCTTTAGCCATCAGTAGGGAGAGATAAAGGAAAACAAAGAAAAAGTAACAGCAAAGGTTGTAACAGCAAAGGAAAAGATTAAGGTGGGAAGGGGAAGAGAGGGAAGGAGAAAAACAGGTAGGTAACCTTGGAATTGCACCAAAAGCTGGAATGTTGCCTCTATCCAGGAAAAAGCAATATACAGAAGCTGCCTAACAGCATGAGGCAGAAGTAAGCCCACGACAAGTCTGCTTTCATGCTGCTGCCAAACTTGGCTGAGAGCTGCATAAAGTGCAAGGTCAGCCTCAGAGGCTGAACAGAAAAGCAGATGTGGTCAAGGGTGTTGCAGCCTAAGCTACATGTGACCCCCAACACAACCATAATGAACTGGGGGTAAAGACATCTCCCCACAGTCTTCTGTACACACTGAAAAACCAATTCTTCCTGTTACCATGGCACTATTTCATCACTGGTGTCTGAGCACAGTTGTAGATATACAAGAGGAAGACACCAAATCCTAAACAGGAAGGTGAAGAAGGGACAAAAATTCAGCAGCTCATCCCTACACAAACGCAGGACCTCAGGAGAGGATTTTAACAGCTACCACTGGCACCTGGCAGAGATAACCTCACCTGAACTCACACAGGTCAGCCCTGAGCCTGTTACTAAGTGGCAGATGATACAGTGTCACACTGGATTTACATAGGGGTGTGACACTGTGTTTCTGGAGTGACCATACTGACCTTCCACTCCAACTATTCATTGTTTGGCTAACATTAAAGGTGTGAGGAGAGGCAATGGCACTGTGACAGCCACTCACCCATTCAGTCTGGTTTACTTGGTGATGATAACTACAGCTCCAAATATAAATGCCAATTAACCTCTGACCTTTGGCAGATCAAGGGATTGCTTGATACACGTGTCCTATTGTGCACCTCCACAGATCACCTACATACTATCAACCCAAGCTTTTTAATATTTCCATCACAGGATGCACAGATCTGTACTCACAAGAGCCACAGTGAGGTCTTAAGTTAAGTTGGGAAAAACTCAGCTTGCTCTCCTGGGACATCTAGGGTTGAAGTACTACAGCTGGCTCCAGGCATATCAACAAAAGTCTCTGAAAAGTCCAGTCCACTCTGCTTTTCTCCTCTAGCTGGAATGGCTGCTTTTCTGACCTTTACAGTCAGCTGTATCATGGAAGCCATCATTGAAAGTATACCCTGCAAATAAGGAAAAAACTGATCCTGCTCAGCACACTGCTCAAGGGAGCTTAACACAAACAGAGCCAAGCACACACACACCACAGAGGGGGTAGGCGCTGTTAGTGGCAGCACCAGCTCAAACCTGATCAGGATGACTGTGAAACTGCACCTCTAACTGGACAAGTGCTATTAGGCACACAAAAACATCTCCCAAACTGACACATTCAACACAGTGCTTCTTGATATCCTCACAGGTCAGAAGAGTGGGATGAGCACTGCAAAAATCACAGGATCTGATGTCTTCTGGGTGTCTGCTGTTAAAAAGACTCTGTCTCAAATGTTCATTTTGCTGCAAATTTTTTTGTTTTATCCCTTAAAAACAAGAGTTCTGCCTTTCCATAGCCCCGCAGTTTCTGCAGTCATTTACGCCTGTGTAGCGTGTGAGCAGTGTGGGTGTAAACATTACTATTCTGGTTTGGTAGCATTTGCCACCCACTTTGCCTAGGTGTGAATGACTGCACAAGGTGCAAGGCAATGGTGACAGTGCTGCAGGGACTGTTTTACATAGCTCTTACACCCATAGTAATACGGTGCACAGGGATGGAGAGACAGCGAGAGAGCAGGAGGAAAGATGCATCAGGTATCTGCCGAAAAAGCTGCCTGACAAGAGGCCTCACCAAGCACAAGCAGCTCCACTGATTCTTCATTCTTGCCCTCCACATCATCTGGTGTGATAATAAGGCAGTAATAGAGGCCACTGTCTCCCCACATCAACTTCCCAATTTGCAGGTCTGCATCTGGAAGGCAAAAAACAGAAGTCAGGTTTTTCCTCCAACACTTACAGGAACAATGGAGGGTTGAATGCTCTGGGTCCATCTCTGTGTCACACATCCATTTCATTTCCTTACTAAGAAGAAGGATTAACCTTATCCAGAATCTCACAGTATTCAGGAAAAAACACAACAGGTCAAGACTTCTGGCTGTAGATAATGCTGCAGAGGCAGCTTACCCTGCAAGAGCCAAGAGCAGAAGGGGTCACTAATGTCTCTCTCTGTCCTTCCTGTCACCTTAGGCTGGGGTCCCAACACTGTTCATGTCATGAAAGAAGGGCTTAGTGTCTCCTCTACAGCACCTCAGTCATTTGTGAAGAGGTTACACAGAGACAAAGGAAAACACTCCCTCTTGTGAGGCTGACCACATGCTCTCCACACCAAGGAGTCTCCACTTCTGGCTAGATGGTTTCCCCAGACAATCAGACACCTTGTACTTTGGAGGGACAAGGTCTCTCACACAGCCTTCCAGATAAAAATATTTAAGGACCCTGCCATCTCCCATCTCCACCCAACCTGACTTTGCCCCATGGGACTCTCTTCCTCTCTGTGTGGGTTTAGCTTCATGATGGGGTAAGCTGGTGAAGTCTATGGCTGAGCAAACATGACATGCAGGATAATCTTGGTATTTCAGAACTAGGAAAACATCCGTGGCATTTGCAAGGAAGAAAAACCTATCCTGCAGAAACCGAATGTGTATCTCTCTTGCTGCCACCCCTTTGCTAAGGAAAATCTGTATACACAGCAATATGCAGAAATCAGGAATAAAAAACTTCCACTTCATGGAAGGGAAAAAGGGATACTGTATCTGAATTGAAGACCTACAAGGAGTCAACTGAAGGGAAGTGCCAAAGGAAATTACCTTTGGGTCTAGGATTGGTTGGCTGAATCCTAAATGTCTGACATACAACAGCTCTCTTCCCACAGCCTTTTCTGAGGGAGTCAACTAAACAATTACTGCCAGATCCAGTATCCCAAATTGCTAAGGGTCCATTCCAGCTCCCCCAAGCATCACTGGAGTAGGAGAGTTACCATGGACAATGCTGACGTCTCTTTCCTTGTAGAAGTCTCCTATGGTGATGGCAGATCCCTGTTTGGAGGCCACGACACGGACTGTCCTCCTGCTGTCCACACAATCCAGGTAGGGATCCCAGTCCAGGTTCCTCTTGCTCATTGTTTGCAAACCAGAAGTCACCATACCCAGAGCTTCTCCCATCCGGTCCTGGCAGTAGGATTTGTACCTCCATTGTACCACAGCTGGTTGTGTGGAAGAAGTAGAGAAATGACAGCGAAGCAGAGCAGGCTGAAATAACATGGCCACCTTCTTCTTCTCAGGCACAGTGACCTGCAACCCTTCCACCTCAGCTAGAAGACAAAAACATGAGTATCATATGTCTTAGCACTACTTGAAGAGGGAGCTACTGCATTTTATCACAGCATCATTCTCTCCACATACATAAAACTGTCCATCTGTTTCAGGTGCTAGGGCACAACACTCCTCAATGTATGCAAGCACGGATGTTGGCAGCAGAAATAAGTTTGCTTTTTCATAGCTTACAGTGACAAAGAAAAACACAGCATGATGGGGCTGAAGGCTCAGATGCAGCATGCTTATGCTGTAGAAGCTCTAACACAATGGTGTGATGATTCACAGCTTCTGTGGCAGGTTCAAACATAAGGAAGAGGTATTTTGGGGATGGCCATGCTCCACCTGTGCCAGGTCAGCCAAGGGGCCAGATCCTGAGTTCATGACAACCCCACTGCAGAATCACCTCCCTCCACGTTTCAGTGGCATCACACCTCCTCTTTACAAGTCAGGCAACACACAGTGCCTGGACCAGCACATTCTGCATTGGTGCCCAGTTAGTGCTGCTTGCTCTGCCAAACTCCAGAGATGCATGAAGGAGTGGATCCAAATCACAGAGCTCTTCCCAGGGCTGGCAAGTAGCACTGAGAGAAACTGCTCCATGTGGGAGGTGTGGAGAAAAAGGGCCCAAACCCACAGGTTTTTCACATTCCCAGGGAGGAGAGGGCTCTCAACATGCAATGTTTATCTAGCAGCCGACAGGAGAGCTGCAGCCTGGACCTGATGCATTAATGTCCCAGAGAAGATGCAGGGGACTGCTGCCACACCCTTGTGTAGCTGAGGGAGAGTCAGTGAGCAATGTCAGCCCTCAGGAGAGTGAGGCACTCCATCCAAGCACAGGGATATGGCCAAACCTCCCCTGCATGTCCTTCTTTGCTTCCCTCTTTGTGCTGCAGGCAGCAATGTCTGAGAGCACTCACACAACACTGGAAAAAGGGAATCAGGTTCAGTGTGGAAAATGTTGGTGTTATCACATACCTCACCCAGAGCAGGTGGAAAGGAGGGAATACACAGGGAAACAGGTAAAAAGAGGAAATACAAGGAAACATTCAAGACAACAAAGCAGAAGAGAAAGTCTACACAACATCTGGAGAAGGGACTGGTAGAAACGTAGTGAGGAATGAAAAGACTGAGGAAAAAACTTCCTGATATCGAGAAACAGTAGAAGAGAAGGGAAAATGCAAGAAAGAAGAAAAATGAGTAAGGATAAAGTCTCAGAGCAAATATAAGAAGCAGATGGATAAGCAGGATGACAATCAGGAAGCTTGCATTCAGTTGGAAGAAGCTGGAGAAGGTGTTTCAGCCCAGGTAAAAATAAGTACAGAGGGCTGCAGTCAGGTTGCAGGAGATTCAGAAACGATGTAGAGAAGAGAGGAAATGGAGTCAGCAAAAATAACCCACCCACTCCAGAAAGCAGAGATGAAAAGGAGATGGAAATTGGCAAAAGAAAGTGAAATGACAGGAGATATCTTTAGAACGGGGGGAAAAAAGGCATAGACTAAAGCATTGGAGCTTGAAGCAGACAGAGAGCAATAAATGCATTAACTGTATAAAAACAGCAGGCATGAAGAGACAAGGTCAAGCTGGAGACAGCTGCAAACCTGAAACACAAAAGCGAGCAGAGATTGCATGATCAGGATTCAAAACCAAAGGAAAGTGAAGAGGCTGGAAAAACAATGAATATTAAATTCAACAAGTTATCACTGTCTGAATTGTAAAGCACAATGAAGTCTATAAATCCCAGGAGAGGAAAACACAATATGGACAGAACCTAGGAGAAAACTTATTTCTGAGAGGCAAGGTGGTCACTGATACTAACAGACTTACTGATCTAGGCAGGATTTGACCTTGGGGACTACTATGTGAAGGTTTGAGGAGCACAAGGATGTTCTGGAATTTGCACAGAAGTTCTATATAATGCATATAATGAATGCAGGACACCATGCACACTGTGCCTGTGCCATGTGGAAGTTGCACAGGAGGTTCTCAGTTTTGCCAGAAGTGCCTGGACCAAAATGCAAACTCCGAAGTGTGGCTGTTCTCCAGACTGCCATCAAGCACAGCTGAGGTCTCCCACAGGACAGGCAGGGGAATGAGGCAGCTCCCACACTTTCCCAAGACACAGGTAAAGAGATTATTTAGGAAATGACAGCTGGGATATTATTGCCAGGCTTCCTTTACCCAGGGACCAAGCATAGGGACCACATGGCACTAAGGGAACACCACCAGTTGCTTCTCAAGGTGAACCAAGTGGTGACATCAAATCCTCTCCTCTCCAGAGATTCACACTTTCTGGGCTGCATCTGAATGCAAGAATCATGAAGAACACCTCGAAAAACCAAAGGGTCCATGTCAAACCTGTGTCTGGCAGCTCCCTGCCTGACCCCTCTCACAGTCTGAGGCCAAAGCCAGCATGTGGCATGAGCTGATCAAGTGACTCATCACGTTACCTCAGTTTCAGGGATAAAACAGTGACAACACTGAATATTTCAATCTTTCCCTTGTGAACCAAGTGTGCTGCTTAGTAATAAACACAGTGCTCTCAGCTAACCATGCACCATAGCCTTCCTTCCCTGTTAATGAGATTAATGAGTTTGGCAAGCCAGGGACTGCTTTAATAAATGATTAGCTGAGCTTTAGCAAATTCTCATCTGACTAACTTTCCCCACCCTACCCCCATGTGAATGTCTATATCAAGAAAAGAAAAGCTTTTGGGAAACTACAAGAATTCTTTTTCTACCAAAAAGCATAAAGATGAAGATGTGCAGAAAATTATCTGGCATCTTCTATATCCTATCCCAAGCTCTTTATTAACTTCTTAAGTATTATTTTCGGATTCCTTCCAGGAATAGCATTTAAGAGCAACACAGTGCCTCAGATTGGGAGACTGGAGCAGAGGAAACTTTAGATCTATTTAAGTTAAATTATATATAATTATATATGGCTGAATTGGGAAATCATACACCTGTTATTTCCTCTGCCAAAAAAGAATTTCTGGAATTGATTCATGTTTTATGTCACTGCTGCAACAGTGTCCACCAAAAAAACATCCACCAGGATCTTTGACTGCCTGAAGACAAGATGGTGGCTTTACAGTGATCAGTTATGTCCAGGCATGGGAATTATAGGACTTCTTCACCTTCAAGAAGAAACTATTGACCTCAAAGTGTAGTGTAGCCAAGACAAGAAAAGCCTCAGATGTACCACAGGACAGAACTCTGTTATTAATACATCAGAGAGAGAAAAAAAAAGTGAAATATGTGAAAAATTATGAGAAGCTTAGTGACAGTACCGTGGTAGCTCTTTGTCTAGTTTAATACAAACAGGACTAAAAAGAAACTGAATTGTGTTGTGCTATGTTTTGACTGATGCAGACAGAGTAAAATTAGCCCTTATTTCAAAGTCATCATGGAAATGCAATTCCTGCACTCTAGAGAAGGAACCTGTTCATTGTGAATTTCACAATGTTTCAAGCTTCACAAGAAAAAATCTAGCTCCTGGGAGTCTCATGACTATGTGATTATTTTGGTTTCCTCCATTCTTGCTCTCCTAAACCCAAAGAAAAAGGTCTGAAAATATTAATCAATTGCATCTTATAAACACAGTTATCCTTTCTCTTAGAAAATAAAAAGAATCCATGGGTTTGTTTGTCTGTACAAATATATATACACACACTCCCGGAGAAAGAGCTTAAAAATAATCACACTTTGAAATATAATTGTATGAGGTTTGTCAGTTTCAATCGGCAATGTGCATTTGTTTCCTTGCTCTGATTCCTTCTCTGAACTATCCTCAGATTATGCATTCAAACTATGCAATCAACACTACACACAAGCTATCACTAATACATTTCACTGGTGATTAAAGAAAATTCCAGGAAGCGATTACAGAGGGGATATTTGTAAGGGCGGGTTTGAGCCTTTTGAGCCTGATCTTCCTAAACCCTTCCCTGAGCAGGAGAGAAGGCAATTGAGAGGTGATAACTGAGGCTCTTGCTTTGCCATTGACCTCCAGAGAAGCCTGTGCCTCCCCGAGGTGAAATGAATCCCAGGAAGATTTAACTTCACTACACAGCCTCAAGGAATAGAATCACAGCATGGTTTGGGTCGGAGGGGACCTTAAATATCATATAGTAAGAACACAATTGATCTGAAGCAGCAATCCTGGAAGTAATGGCAAAGCCAAATACTGTAGTTCAGTGGAACATGTCTCAGGCTGCATCCTTCTGGAACACACAACACTTGAGGCCAAGAGAAGGCAGCACAAATTGTTCTTCAGGTCACATCGGTCTCCCTATCTGTGCACACATCTCATCTCTTTCTTTGCAATTATTTGGCTCATGCCACTGCTTGCCTGAGGTAGTACAGCTGATTCCATGAAAATAAAAAAATTGCATTCCCCATTTTCATGTACCTTTATTGACAGGAGTGGCAATTGTATACAGAGGAGAATGGAAATCACTGGGTCCTGATCCAGGCACCTCAGGAAAGCTACTCCTAGACTTTACCTCAGGGCTTCGGCAGAAAAGCATGAGTTCACTGGTAAGCTGCCCTTAGGGTAGGTTATACCACTTCCCAAATAAAATAAAGTGTTGGGCAAAAGTATTATTGGTTTTGGCATCTTGGATAACTATGCATCATTTCAAAGTGTTCTTTACCTCACTACTGAATACTGGCACACCATTCACACTTTCAAATGTCGATCAAGCTTGAATCAGGAAGGGCAAGATCTGGGCTTTGAGACCAGAAAGTCAGACATGATAAAGAAATGTGTAAACAGATGAATGGAGAGCCAGTGGGATCGCTGAGATTGTATTGTACAGATTCTTGCCTACTTATGTTGGACTACATCCAATCCATGCAATTTGTCAGCAAAAGCCATCACCATCAGATTGTATCAAGTGCCTTTGAGAAATTAATTGGATGTCTTGGTCTGGTTCCTATCACACTTGTGTTCTTAGACACGTGACCACTAATTGTCAACTTTTTTTGGAAGCAAGAAACCAATGCCTGAACAAGTCAGCTGCAGCTGAGGTGAAAGCATGGTTCTGTTTTTCACAGCTCCATAGCAAAACCAAGAATTTCAGCCCTCCATCTACTTAACCTGGAAAGGGGAAAACCCAAAGCTGCAGAAAAGTGTAGTCATGCACACCCAGCACTCACAGCACAGAACCTCAACACAAAAACACTCCATGTAGGACAGCCCACACTGTGCAAAATGACTGCAGCAGACATTGGACTATTCCTTGCTCTTCCACATTCTCTGTGGTGCTCTCTCCAGGCACTCCCTGTGCTCATTACAGCCCCTTACACACATTCACAAAAGTCATTCTGGATGCTCTCAGGTGAATTATCTCAGCTCTGGCCACCCGATCAAAACCACCATCTGCCTTACTACTGTCTGAAAGCAGTTACAGTTGTCAGATGCCTCCTGATTTAGACTTGGTTTGGCATCCCAGAAATCATTCCCAGAAATATCACTCATCAAAAGCCTGAGAATAAAGCAAAAGAAATGCAAAGAGTCTCTCCAAGCCTTGTAATACCATGCCATAATACCTGTCCTTGGGATGGCATTGGGATTTCCACAGCTGCCAGTTTCACTCAAGGTGACCTGACAGGAATACAGAGTAAGAAAAAACATGAGATTTCTTCCCAGTTATGCTACACTTATGCTCTGTGAAGCCAAGCAAGGGAAGTCAGACGAACACTTTAAATCAAAACAAGTAAAATAGTCCAACAATTTTCCTGCCTTCCCAAGAAGTGTGGTCAGCTGGCAAAGCACAGCTGTGCTCCAGCATGCCCCCTCTGCCTGCCCTCGTGAACCATGGCTGGGAAAGAACAGGTACAGCAACAGCATACAGGGACTGAGTGCTAAATTACTGGTGGAAAAGTACTTATCAGGAAGAAGAGATCCCATTTTAATGTGGGCAGTTTTCTAATTGTAATTTTTCCAAGCTTAGTCCAAGTTGTGAGGCAGAAAAAATTTGATCTGCTTGTTCTGTACATAAAACTGGAGTTCAGTCTCCAGTGCAGCACTATGCTCTTGTTTTAAATGCATTAGGAATTACAGCATTAATAAGAAAATGGTAAACACAAGGGGAAGATTCATTCCAGAATCAAGCTTCACTTAGTAATTTACAAGAACAGGCTTTACACAGGGACTAAGGATACTTGGCAAATTTTATCTTCTTTTTATAGAATGAGAGCACAGTCCCACACATATCTTAACCCGTGTGACCTCACAGGAAGGAATAAAGAACGACCTGCTCTTCATCCATTTGCTGTTGTTATTAAAACACTCGCTTTAGGCATGTGGGAGACCAGGACAGGAGGGGGAGAAGCCAAACCAGATCCATTGTATCTCACACAGGATTTTTTGAAACTGCCGTAAGAACTCACAATGCCCAAAACCAAACAAAAGATAAATGCAAGAGCCAAAAATTAAAGACAAACAAAGGACAGAGAGGAATTACTGCTGGGAGGAAAGGGACTGAAAGTGCTGATTAGAAATTTCTCAGCCCGCCTCGATGAGGGAGGAGGGGAGGGAAGGGAATGAGAGCCTTCTCTTTCTGCTCCCTTTTGTCTCCCTGCTTCTTCCCCATCTTGCACTCTGTCCCCTGGCCCCTCCACCTCCCAACCCCCACTTCTCTTCCCCAGAGTGGAGTGTACCACTCTGGCTGGATTAGGGCTCCTTACCTTGATGCAGACCTTTCATTCCTTTGCACAGCCACTGGGGAGAGGAAAATCTTGAATCCATGTTTGCTAGCCCCCTCCTTTTCTGTGCATACACACACAAACACACTCACACACCTTTGCTTATTTGCTTGCTCTCGGCTGTGAAAAAGGACATCAGCTCCTGATTTATGGCTAGGCAGCAGAGGCTGGAGGGGAGCAGGCGAGCACTGCCTGCCTCCATCCCTCAGCACACAGCTATGGATAACCTGTTGCCTGCCGGAAGCCTGTGCCTGCCAGCTCTCCACAGCACCAGCAGCACGCAGTCCTGTCTCAAAAACACAGGGCTAGAGGAAACTGGAAGGTCTTCCCACTGCAGCGGTACCTCTCTCTCTGCATTGACCCTGCATGCTCCAAACAGTGCTGGCTGCCAGGAATCGCGAACTGCCCTCAGTGGAAGGAGAAAAGTGTCAACAGCCCGGTCTTTTAGCTTGATAAAAAAGTCCTGATTAGACTGACATGTCCAGATAAAGAAGCTCTTTAAAAAGAGGGAGGAATGTAATGTCATCTTTAGCTACACCCTGTAGCTAAAATGCTTTGCCGGTCCTTGGATGCTATTTATCAGCACACTACTATGGCTAGTAGGAAAGGAGGGGTAGCTGTGGGTGCGCGGGCACTCCAGACCAACTCACTCAAGTGGGATACATTTGGAAGCAGCCAAATGGCAGGGAAGGAGGAAGGGAGAGAAGGATGAGCTGGAAGTTGCTGAAGCCCCAGATGAGGCCGTGAAACCCTGGAAGGGAGCAGTAGGCAGGCACCGGTGTTGAAGATGACTCAGAGTGAAAATGCAAGGAAAGGGGTGGGTGGATGGTGGGAGAGAGGTGTTATGACTAAAAGCCGAATTTACTGCTTGTGAATCCTAAATCTGAATAGGAAGAAGGAAGAGGCTGAGGTCTTTTTTGTGGAATACATAGGTGACAGTGGGAAATATATGCCACTTAACCCAAGTGTGTCTGTTTCTTCTTTCAGCTTCTAACCAGCCTGCCTGGCTAAGTCATCCTACTGCAGCTTTTCCTACAGCCTGCTGCTCCTGCCTGTGCCTGGCTGCTGCACCGGCTCACAGATCTTGCCCCTCACCTGACATGGCTTCCTCTTTCTCCCCGGTTCCCGGCTGCCCCGCCGCTCTCACCCCGCTGTAATCCCTTCTCTCTCCTTCCCTCGCTGCCCAGTTCTCAGACCCAGCCCCTTTTCAGCTTGTCCCTCCTGCCCTCTCCCCCATCACTGAGCCCTCTCCGCTCGCCTCTCGGGCTGCCCTCCCCCTGCCCTAGGGGGGACTTGCCCGACCTTTTCGGGAGCCGCCGAGGCCAGCGGTGGGCTTGGGGGGCGATCCCGTCCTGCGCTCACAAAGGCCTGGGCTCAACTGCACCGTCACGGGGAAGGGCCCCCTGGAATTCTGCCCTCCTGCAAGCCGGGGCAGAGGCAGGGCAGCCCCCTCCTCTCACACCTGTGTTGAGACGGCATGTGCGGTCAGGACAGCGGGTAAAGGAGAAGTTCCTGCAATTGTTCCCGGCGTGGCACGGGCGGGGGGAGCCGGGGGCTTGTGGCCATCCCTCCCGCACGGCGGCCAAGGACACTCCGACACCCCCGGGCCGGTTCCCCCTTCCCCGGCACGGGCGCGCTGTGTCCCAAGCGCCGCCGGGACGGCGCAGAGAGAAGCGCCGGGGCCCCTCGGACCTGCCCCTGCCCCCGGCCGGGCAGGAGGCACCGGCTGCCCCCCGGCCCCAGTCCTCTACGCCAAGTCTCCGCAAACTGCACCGCGGGACGCTCCCGAGCAGCTCCCGGCCCCATGCCGGCTCTCTCCGCAGCATCTCCCCAAATCCCCCCCATTCTCGCCCCCCGGCGGGCTGGACACGGCGTGGGGACGTCGGTGCTACCGCACCACCCGCGGCCCTCCCTACCTGCGAGGCACAGGAGGACGATCCATCCCAGGACGTGCCCATCCATCTTCCCAGTGGTCCAGGCGGCGCGGGGCGGCGGGAGAGGCGCGGGGGCGGCCCCGCTCGGGCAGCCGCCTCCCCGCAGAGCCGGCCGGGCTGGCGGAGCGGCCGCGCCGTGTGCCTCCGCTCGGCTCCGCTCCGCTCCGCTCCTCCCCCGGGCCGGCTCCCCGAGGCCGCCCCCGCCGCTGTCCGGGCTCGGGGAGAGGAGGGGGACGCGGCTTCCCGAAACTGCCTCGCTTCCCGCCCTCCCTCCCTCCGTTTCGGTTGCCTGGTGCCGCTCCTCAGCCTACGGGCATCCCGGCACGTCCCCCTGCAACTCCTTCAGCCCCCGGTGTCCCCGCTTCTTAGAGGGGCTCTTACAACTTCTCTAGTAAGCGCTTAAAAATGTCCCCGCCGATCATCTGTCCTCCCCAAATTAGCTAAATGTATACCTTGGGAAATGAGCGTAGACGGTTCCTGTTCTAAATTTCCCTGGAGTTTCCACTTCCAACGTGGGCACATCAACTAATTATTGTAATTTTAGATAAAGGAGTATAGTTTTAGGTGAGGAATTGTTCTGGCTGTTAACAATGGGCAGCCGACTTGCCGGGTGTTAAGTTTTCGCGCCAACGTGATACTAGAAGGGGATGGGGACTTTTTGTTTGTTTTCGGTTTGTTGTGGGTTGTTTTTGTGAGAAGGGGGTCACATACAGCCTTAAATTACATTTTAGAATATGCATGTTGCTTAGAAATTAAATTGTCCTGGCTCAGCAAACCCACGTGGATTCACATTAACTGTACTTAAAACTTTTAAAGTTTCTGTGAAAACTTAATAAGTCAGTGGAATTATTCATGGGCCTAAATAGCTGGCTAAAATAGGATCATGCTTTCTTTTGTGGCTCAGCACCGGAGAGAAGCGCTTTGCAAAATGGCACTCCCTTTTCACAGCATCCAGCACAGCTTCCCTTTGAGCGCTGTTCATCCTCAGGCACTTTTCTTACCTAGGTTTGGCTGCTGTTTGTAACCAAAGCTGGGATGCTGCAGGCACCAGTGATCCACATGAGAGATGGGAGTAGTCTGCAACTTCATCTCATCTGGAATCTGCCAAAAACCATAAACGATTCTGATTTTTCTAAAGCAAAGCGCTTGGTGTGTCCTGCTGCTAAAGGCAGGGTGCACAGGGACGCCTGCAGTAAATCTGTACAAGCTGTTCACATTCTAGCAGGTGTTTTCCAGTTGCTTGTAGATTCCTCATCATTTTCTCCTTTTAGACTGAACTTCTCTACAGGCAAGATAAGGTTTTCTTAAAAATTGTGAATGAAAAAATCAATAATTTCTGAAGGAAAAACCAAACCAGCATGTTTGCTGTGATAAAAGATGTGTTGAAACATCTTTGGTTGTTTTCAGACAGGTGTAGTCCCTCTGTTAGTACAGCTAAAATGGAATTAAGCAAGGAGACAATCCTTAGGCAGTTGATCTGTTTTTAAATGTTTTATTTGGAGCTATTCAGTGTTATTTAAAAATATTTTTCACGTGGAAGTTTATTTTTATTCAGCATTGCTTAAAAAAAAAATACAAACCCACCCTAATCAGTGTCCTGATGTTCCTCTGACCTGATACATTATGAATTTTACTTTTTACACTACTAGCTAAAAGTTACGATTAAGAAGTTACACTGTTACACTAAATAATATATAGGTGCAGCAGTGCTGTTCTCCTTCAGCACACTGATCTGACACCCCACTGCCTTCATGCATACTTGCAGGTGGAAGACAAAGTAGAAATTCTCATTAGGGCCACAAATTCAGCCTCCAGCAATGCGTGGTTCCAGAAAATTCAGATGGAAATATAATACTTTGCATCAGCACAGGGCCTGCCTCACCACTGTTACCTATCTGTAGGATATAATCCATGAAAGTTTGTATGGGTTGAACTAAGACTCCTAAAAGGCAAATACAAAGCTATTTTTCTCTCCTTCCCCTAACAATTTTTCCGGATAACCCTCAAAATTTCAAGTGAAATCCTGGTTCCTTGCTTTATTGTAACTTAGCTGGCCAGAATTCTGATCCATTTTCCTGAGACAATATTGATGTTGATACTATCTCCTCTTTTTAACACTGGGAGCAGTACAGTCCCTTATGCATCACTATTGTTAGCTACTACTGGGGGGTTTTGTTAGGTTGTTTTTTTTTTTTAATCTACTCCAGCTTTTGCAATTAAATTTGGCAGGCATCACTTTTGCTAAACTTTTGACTCACGACAAAGGAAGGAAAGATTTTCAATAGAAGGAAGCACCATTGTTTCGCATGTAACGTTGGATTTATATCTGCTTTGAAATTCTCATAAATTTACTGTAGGGTCCTTTCTCATTTAGCATGAGCTGCCATTTGTATATAACCACCTAAAATGGATGCCCAGGCCCTGAATAGATGTTCCAGATCTCTGTAGACCTTTGATCTCATGATTGCAACATCTGAGCTGGCTTAATAGTTAATGTTGGGATGTTGTCTTTCCTTTTAGCCCAAGACAGAATGGATGACCGCAGTTAGCCCCACTTCACCTTCAAACGGTGGGGAAATTCCTATGTAATTAGCCAGATGGCTTCAAGCCACAGCCCAGCAGGGATCCTCTGTCCTTGGAAAAACAACACACTGATGGACTTAAACCTTCATCTCTCTTAGTCACTTGACAACCCTGACGCCGGATGAGCAAATTCCCGGTGTTTGCCCTACGTAATTTAGTCCCAGGCAGAACCGGAGGAAAACCACACTGCAACACTGCTTGATTTCACTACTGATACCGTGACTCCACCTGAAGGAGCTCTCTAAGCGATGGGATCATGAACAAATTCAGCTGAACATGGGGAGACAAACAAACAAATTTTTACTCATGCTGTGGCAGCTGCTGGCTCCTTTCTCTCCTTGCCAAGTGCTTAATTCCTCCCTCCCTCGTCTCATCTTCCAGTACCAATCTTTTGTGGTCGTTTCCTCTGCTGATACGCAGAGTCAGCTTTTTAAGTTACCACCACGTGGAACGATTTACACCAGCACCTCAATCAGAATGACCCATCTCCTCAGCATCCCTGAAAGCCCACTCTGCTGCATGAAGATTTTCACGCCGTTCAGCCCTCTGGCTGGATTTCCCTTGCAGAAATTTCCATAGAAACAGTGATTTCAACAGCTTTTCTGGGATGCCATGCTAGACTCAGCCATTAGACATGGCTCCCTTGATTTAGTACTTAGATCAGCAGGTCGCAGAACTTCCTGGGTGACGCACCATCAGTTCATAGCGTTTAGTGAGTCTCTTCAGATAGCTAGTAAGTAAAACTTTTCCTCGTTTGCTGTGTTACACTGGAATCCCCTATTAATCCTTGATAGCTTCACAGCAAGACATTGTTGAAATATATTTACTCTCTATGTTGTTTTTTTTTCTTCCAAGCTGCCTGGCTACATTTGATAGCACAATAATACAAAGCTTTTGCGTCCCATTAACATCAGGAGTGAGTGATATGTATATATAAACTGCTATTGTTTTTTAATCATGATGTTTGCACCAAGAAATGTTTAGAGTATTTAATGGAGAAATTTGGCTTTCTCGCTACAATGAATCTTCAGGTCTGTAATATAAATTCAGCATTAGAAAGAACCCCAAGGAATAGCATCCTCCTGTAGTATTTACTCCACTGTATAAATTTCCTATGCTGCTCCTGACTTCTTTTTAGACACCAAAAATCATAGTATGCCTCTGCTACACTTACAGAGTGAACCAGAAATTTTCATTTAAAACACTAATGGCATGTCAGCAATAATGTTTTATGAAGTTATCATACAGGTAGAAGATCACAAGTGAATCATCCCAGCTCACCATCTTTTGTGTGTCACTATAGGCAAAAATACACAATAGGACAAACTCTGCTTGCATATTTACAGATAACCTGGGAGGTAACAAGCTGTTAAATCCTCTAAGGTTTTGGCTGTAGAGGAAACTGTGGGCAGCACAAATACCTTCAGGGACTTGGAGTTTATAACCTGGATTTTTGTGACTGTCCAATCCAGCTTTCCGAATAAAACAGGCCACATCACTTCACCACGCTATATCGACTAGTTTAAACTACAGCCTGTATGTTACAAAAACGAATCACAGATTACTTTGGGTGGGAAGGGACCTCACCCTGCCCCTAATTTAATCTAACTTCACTTTCTAGTAATGCCAAGCCAGAGGGCAAGGCAGTTTTAGGGCATTTTCGAAGAGCTAATGGCAGGCTGTGATCAAAGCACCCTTAATATCCTCCAGACTGTTAGTTTGTTTGTTATATTCCTGAGCTAACACCAGAACTGGAGAGAGCATCCCAGGCCCATTTGCTAAAAGCATGAAAGCAGAAGTATTACAGCATCATCACCCCTGCTTAATATTCGTTTATCCTTCCAGGGATGATGCTATTAGTCCTCTTGACATAGAATCACACAGAGAGCTCCTCTTTGGTCGATATCCCACTCTATCACCTACCTTACTAAGTATTCCTTCAATCTCTGCATTTTTTGCAAGTAACCGTGATGACTACATGTTTTGTTGAAAGCTACTAACAAGTATTTTGTAGTATGCAGCCAAGAAACAACCTAAGAAAGATATTAATAAAAAGTGTGACTACAATTCCTCATTTAAAATTACATTTTGAGACACCTTAAGCTAATGCTTTAACCAGGGACTGGATGGTCTTTGTATCATAAATCTGTATCCTTAATTCAGTGTTGTGTGGTCGAGTCACATGCTTCATGTGTCTGAATGCATTACCTTTAGTAACCACACTTAATATCTTTTTGATGCAATTACAAACCAATGTGACAGAATGTATTTGCTGCAAACCCATGCTGATTGGCATTAATTACGTTACTTTTCTTTAATTCATTATTGAAGCAAAATCTATTATTTTGCCTGGGCTCCCTGTCAGTCTAACAGGTCTGTAATTACTCAGGTCATCCTACTTAGGTCCAGATCCAAAACAAGAGTTTGGAAAATTTTTAGTACCTAACATTGAGAACTATC